TGCCCAGTTTCAGGGCAGGCATGGCATGTAGTACTGGAGCTCGAACCCTGGTCCTTGAGCTTACCAGGCAGGTGCTTAGACCACTGAGCTATCTCCCCAGCCCGCGTTTCATTGTTGATTCTTGCCCGTGTCAATACCGTGCAGTCTTTGTTGCAATAGCCTCTGTTGCTACAGCTTCGTTGGTGTAGCTTTTGAGATCTGCTGTGGCCCGCTACCTCCTGTCTCTACTTCAGGAAGGTCTCGGCTACTCTTGGCTCTTCATTCTTCTGTGTAAATCTTAGAATATCATTGCAAAAGATTTTCATTGAAAAAATTCTTGTTTCTTCCTTTCATTTTGTCTCTCTCATCTACCTCTCTCTATGCATCTATCTATCTCTATCTATCTCTATTCCCTCTCTTGTCTTTCTTTCCTTCCCTCTCAATGCCAGGGATCACACTCAGGGCCTCATGCGTGCCAGCCAAGCGCTCTGCTGTGGAGCTACACCTTCAGCCCTTAACTGTTTCTCTTTTGAAATGTCAATACAGTTTTATAAAATTTCTCCGGAAATAGTTCTTAATCTTTTGTTGGGTTCTTTCTTAGGTACTTTGCTTTGTTGTTACAGCTGATTTTTTTTTTTTTGGTCCGTTGCTGATATGTGGCAGGTGATCGGTTTATGGCGCAAGGCAGACAGCCTTTGGGCTGATCTTCCCTAGTGTTTCCGATGGCACAGGGCAGGTGCTCTTGGTGCCTTTACACAGGAAACTGTGCCATTTACAATGGTAACTTCTTTCCTTCTGAGCCCTCTTATTCCTTATATTTGACTTACTGCCTGCCTTCTTGCTCGTGTCATGATCTGTTGGCAGTTTCTCTAAGGAACACTTTCAGGTTGTTGTTGTTGTTGTTTTAATCAGTGTAATTGATTTGATTGAGACAGGAGAGGAGCAGCTGACATTTCCCAAGAATACTTTTCATAGCTGCCTTCTTCTGTGGCTGGCCCAGTGGCTTGCCTCGGGCCGCGGCTCCAGCAGGCTTTCCGTGGTCTCTCTGGGAGAGTGAAGCAAGCTTGGGCCACAGGTCTGCCCAGACGGCGGCGCCCCAGTGACCGTCCAGCCGCAGTCATCCTGAGTTAGGTACAGCAGCAGCCTCTGCCCTCCCAGGGCTGGACAGGAAGCCTGACCCCATGTGCCACAGCCTGCCTTCTTTCCTTTATGAAACCAGCCTCCTGCAGCCCTCCGTGGGCCAGGCTGCACTGCGCTCCCTGATCCTGCAGCGTGACAAGGCCTTTCCCGCCTGGCACACTTTTGCCGCCTCATGATCTCTGCCTTGAGTAGAGAAGGCTGAGCTGCTAACACCAAAGACCACTGGCACCGGAAAGGCCAGCAAGCACAGCTGGGGACACTGAGGGCGGCTTACTCCAGAGAACTGAGGGGAGCAACAGACCCTTGCCAGGAGCTGCCGTCTCTGGTGCCCCAAAGAGCTCCCCAGCGCTGTAGGTGGCAGCTGGCTGTGGCTCCTGGGGGCTGGAGAAAGGCTGCAGCCCTAGGCGCGGATCACTGTGGCATCCAAGACTTGGAGCTGCTAACGCCGGAAACACGGATGCTTTGCCTACCTGTGATTTCTATCTGAACTGAGCAAAAGAACCCTTAGCTGACCAGGAACATCTTGGTGACCTGTGAAGAGACCTACATGTTGGGTGAGCCCTGAAGAAGAGGTTAAAG